TATGTATATGTGTGTGTGTAAATCAAAATCACAAATAAAATGAAATGAAAGGCAGCACAGAGAAGAAAAAATCTTACAATATCTGCCCCTTTTTTCTAGAATAAGCTCGTATAACAAAAAAAAAATCTCTGTTATTAACAAAACATATTATCTGGGTCAATAATCAATGTTTCATAATGAATCATTGTTTTATTAATTTTCTATTCAAATATTAATTGTATTTTGCTGGAAGTGTAGGAAGCAGGTGGAAGAGAGCTTAGAGAGGTGGAGTGGATGGAGACTCAGAGTTTTGTAAATAAAGGATAGATCCAACATTAAAGTTCTTCAAGTCAACATTAAAGCGTAAAAGTAAATAACTATATACTGTATGTAAAAAATAGTAAGTATTTAGAAACAATAAAAATAGCAGCAGACGGAAGTAAAAAAATTACGATTGTTACCTTTAGTAGACACCAAGCTTTGAGTTTACTCCAATGTGTTCAAAAGTACTTAATTCATTTGTGGTTTTGAAAGTGCTTCAATGAATTTTAGGCAGGACAGTTTATAGTTTATGTGGAAGCTATTATTAATTCAAAAATGTTTTAAAAAGCTGAGGAGTGTGTTAGGAGAACGATGTTTTTTTAAAGTTTTTTTAAAAGTTTGGTGTTTAATTTTTGCCTGTTATTTCTCAGCAGAAGGCAAACTATGTGTGAAAAGATTAAAAAAGTATCTGAGTAGAAATGCAGACAAAACGAACCCCTGAGAGAATTCCTCCATGTGGAAAATATAAAAACTTTTGAGCATTTAATGCAGGTGATGGGACATGCTGAGAACTGTGCACCAAGGTGTAAAACATCAATTTCTCCCTTGTGTGTCTAACGTTATCATCTGACTCTGTCTCTTTATTGAAGCTGTTTTTGACAGAATGACCAAACGACAGAAGAACTAGTCTAAGAGTCAGGTCTTAACAAAGTATGACTCCAATATACTGTAGAAATTTTTTGATTTTTTTTGAAGGAGCTACTTTGACACTACAACCTTAAATGGCAAAATCTTGTGATGTATATCAATGTTTAATTATTTACTTACAAAATCGAAGCTAAAGAGCAGGAGCGGCTGTGTAAGTGTTAGTCCAGCTCAACATAACAATAGGTGAGTGAGACATCTCCCAAAGAAAAGTGTTTACTTCTCTCTTTTCTTGAACAGAGTTTCCAAAGAGACCATGTTGATTCAGTCTTGTTCCTATGGTTCTCTTGTTCTTAAGTCCTAAGTTTTATTTATCTGTTTTTCCAAATAAAACACTGAACTTGCACAGCCATAAAATTTGTTATAGAAAATATGTATAAAGTACATTTACTTCTTAGTTTACCAGTAAATGCTTTTGGATTTTGAAAAAAATAATTTTTAGATTATTAAATTTTCTGTGACAGAGAGAAAAGATAAAAAAAAAAATGTAAATGTCTGAATATGAAGAAACTTTAAATTTAGTCAGAATTAAAAAAAAAAACAAACAGAAAGTATCTGCATACTAAAGCAGTAAACCTGAACCGGGTCAAAAAGCTGCAGTTGGTACGTCTCTAACTTCATGCCATACGTACTGTTTTTCCTCCAGCACATGAAGACTCCAAAAACAAAGACAAGCAGCAGAGGAATAAGAAGCAGGGCGGTGATGACAGCTGGAAGGACACCCTTCTTTTCATTCGACCTGGGTGTGCTTTTCATTTCTTCCACTTTGACCAGCGGGTCACTTTTCCCAGCTACAGTTTGCTTCTCTTGGGTAGCGGCAGTCTTTGACATGTTGTGATCTTGCTTCATCTTGCTTTGGACAAATGTCTCCAATTCTACAAGAAAACATTAAAGTAGGGGAATTGTCTGGATGATAGCACTCATAATACTGTAATCGCACATTAGCAAAAATATGTCAAAATATTTTTGCCTAAAAAGTCCTAAATAATGGTTGTGACTTATGTAACTGTTTTGATTTTGTGTACTGTTTGTTTGTGCCCAGGTACCCCATGAAAATGAGATCTCAGTCTCAATGGGGTTTTCAATCTGGTTATATAAATTAAATGAAATTAAAATACTTTGGAACTAGGGCTGGGCCGTATCATATCATTCTGGTAAAAAAAAACTTGCCCGGGAAAATAAATTATATCATGGTATGCAAATTTCATGACCGACGTCATTTTGCCCATGTCGGAGAACCTGCTTGTTTTCTGTTGTGGTCTTGTTAAAGCCGCCCAGACGCTGCTTTCAACAAATCAAACAAACCCCACAGCTTTATCCAATCAGAGCAGAGCAGGGCGGGTCTTTCTGATGTTGGCGCAGCAGCCTGCAGGATAAACACCGGTCAGCCTGAAGCTCCTGTCCTGACTGTGCAAACCCCTCCATCACACTTCTCTCCCAAGCTACCCGAGACATTGGTATCTAAAATCGAACACATTATAAGTTTATGTTCAGAGCTTCGTTATCGAACACATATGCCCAACTTTGCTCGCGTGACTAAACTCCTCACCTCGTCGACAGCGCTGTAAGGGGAGCACGCTGAGGTGCACACAGGCAGATATTAACTCAGATGAACACTTGTTTGCTGCAGTATAGAAAAGATGAGTCTCCGCTTAGCGTTAGCCCCCACCCCCGCAAAAATAAAAAAATTAAATAAAAAATAAACGCTATGTTCTTTTTGTAGTTTATTTTTTGTAGCTTATCTTAGATTTAGAACCATACTGTGACTGAACTGCTCTGTGATTCAATAAATGGTCAAATATGAAGAATAAACAATATTAAACGATTATATGAGCTCTCTAAATACCGTATTTATTCGTGTATTATACGATCTCATGTATAATACGACCCCCCCTTTTTTTAGCTTAAAAAGCATAAAAAATTTAATCGTCAAACTACCTCCAATTTCATTCAGACTTCAAGATTTTTCAGCCTTTGCAGTCTTTATACATATCAGTAAAATGATCATTGGACTGTTCATTTTATTTGAACAACATAAGTACTAAAAGGTATTTTAACAACAAATATGTATCAACTGTAGCAGCATCATATGAATTCTGACATTTTACACATAGTCCACCAGGAGGTGCCAACACAAAAGTCAGAGACTTCACATGAGATTTGGGCCATCTTGTGGGGGAAAAGCAGATTACTTCCTACTCGTGAGCGCCCCCTCTGGTGGGGAAACATTTTTTCAAGGATACAAACTTTTTCTGAACACCGGTAGACGGCAGCCTTTACAGACAAACGTGTTTGTTGTTATTCCAGGAGCAGCCCAGTCACACGTTAATGTCATTAGTTCATTATCATTACTAAAGTACTGGAATACTCCCCACCCCCCCACCCCTTTTTTTCACATCATGTCACCTGCCTGGATCTGTTATTATCTCGCTCTAAAGCATGGAGGAGTGTCAGAGGTAAGGACGTTTCAAATGCTTTTTATGACGCGGTCTCATTTCCGGACTCAGGCATTTTGTGAATAAAGACGATATTTCAGTTAAAATACATAAGTAAAAATATTTATCCGAGTATAGTACTACCCCCCAACTTTATGGACGATTTTACGGATCTAATTTTACGTATACTTGAATAAATACGGTAATATAATCTTTTTGAAAGAAATTTGTTATTTTAATAGAGAAATCAGTCAGTCTAACAAATAAAAAATGTATTTAAGTTATTTTGTGAAGTACATAAGACACATTTGGTATATATATTTTTTTTATTTAAAGTTATAATACATACATACGTACATGTTGTGTTTGCAATGAAAAGTTATGGAGATGGTTAAATAATTATATGACTATATCTGACTCAAGTCTTACAAAAAATGTTTATTAAATTTATTAAAAACACTAAAATGACAAATATAAACTACAGAAAAGTTTTTTAAAATCTAAACTGTGAACTTTGACTGAGAACATGGACACAGTGCATAGTGTTATGACTAGACTATACCGTGTACTTGTGTGTGGTGCGTGGTGAGTTATTGTGCATTTATCGTTATCGAGGTAAACTGGTCAATATATCGTGAGATTGATTTACAGCCATATCGACCAGCCCTATTTGGAACAGAGACGAGTACATGGTTGACACACTGACTGCAAACTTCCTAGGCTCTGTACAAAACAAGCCCAGATCATCACCCTTCCACCGCCTACCACTTCAAAGACAAATGATGCAGATATAAACTCAGCACCAAAAGTAAGGGAATTACATCACACATATGGAACGGATTGGCAGCACCCGGGGGTACCAGAAGCTCAAAATATGTCTCAATAGCAACAGTAAATTATGCTGTCAACCTACAAATGCCTGTTCCTTACAAATGTAACATCATTTAAAAGAGAATTTAACAGGCTTTCTAACCGTATAAGATTTATTGCCAAGAAGCATTGTTACAACAGATATCCACCAAACACAAATTTCATTACTTTTTACGATACGTGTATATACAGGTATGTGTGTATATCCATATTTGGATATTAGTTTTTAGGATTATATTACAATTAATTATTTTATTACCTGTTTTATATTTTTGAGCATGTCACGTATCTTTTAACAAGATACAATTTAGACTTAAGGACTTAAGCATTGTCTTTGTTCTGTTTTGTTATTGTTTTGTTTGCACTTACCATAGAACAGGGATGTCCAATCTTGGTTTTCAAGGGCCATTTATCCTACACATTTTACCTGTTTTCCTACTCAAACACACCTGATTCAGTGACCGAATTGTCTTCAAGTTCTGCAGAAGCCTTTTAATCACACACTCACTCAAATCAGATGTGTTGGAGCAGAGAAACCTTTACATACAGGATAGTGGCCCTTTGACCAGGATTATACTCGCCTGTTCTAGACAGAAAAATTCAACCCATATATTTGGCTAAGAAGACAATAAAATATGGCTGGACTGATAAAAAAAACATGAAAATAGTTTTGACAGCTACAAGATTTCTGTAAGTATTCCCAGTAGTATCAACATGTTTAAAGTCAAATCTACAACTCTTACCTAGAAGTTCTTGGATCTCAATTCCAGCTTTCTTGACGGAGCGATGCAACTCTAGAAAATTTGAATAAAAAGATGTTTTATAGAAATTAGGTGTTATTTACAAATTACAGCAAAACGTTGAGTCATTTTGAGTTTTTAACATAACATGAAAATAACATGAAAAACTAATGAATAAAGTCCCTGTTAGAATAAAACCTAGTTTCTGAAAAAATAAAGGCCTAGCATTCCTAGCAACCACTGGTCTATTAGATATTTGGTTAAAAAAAAAGGACAAATAAAAACTACGGGTGTAAATCATCAGATTTATCATGATACTATATTATATTTAATTGTTTGGATGACGATATGATATTTCTTGATATCATAAAGTTTGTCATGATACGATTTTGATTCAGTTCTATTCCCAACTCTGCAATCAATATAATGTAATACCATCTGCTCATCTAAATCCCTACTCACACAGGATAAGCATGTAACCACATGTAATAAATAAATAAATTACTCCCTGACGATGTTTTTATGTGTCGCATTCGCACAGGATAACCGAAGCCTGAGATTTTGCTGAAAGTTACGGACATCTCCTGGATATGATATTGAAGCCTGGTAAGTTGAAAACAATGCGAGGGTGCACGGCACACAGTCTTTGCGGAGCACTTTTGGTGCACACACCCTTGCGGCATCATTCAATTTGTTTGTTTGTCAAACCTTTGCTCTTCTATTTACAGCATTTAACAAGTTATAAAGTGTTCTCTTGTATGTCCTTTTGGAGAATACTACAATGTACAGGGGTTGGACAATGAAACTGAAACACTTGGTTTTAGACCACAATAATTTATTAGTATGACGTAAGGCCTCCTTTTGCTGTCAATATAGCATCAATTCATCTTGGGAATGACCTATACAAGTCCTGCTCAGTGGTCAGAGAGATTTTAAGCCATTCCTCTTGCAGGATAGTGGCCAGGTCACTACGTGATGCTGGTGGAGGAAAATGTTTCCTGACTCGCTCCTCCAAAACACCCCAAAGTGGATCAATAATATTTAGGTCTGGTGACTGTGCAGGCTATGGGAGATGTTCAACTTCACTTTCATGTTCATCAAACCAATCTTTCACCAGTCTTGCTGTGTGTATTAGTGCATTGTCATCCTGATCCACGGCACCACCTTCAGGATGTTTGAACCATTGGATGCACATGGTCCTCCAGAATGGTTCGGTAGTCCATGGCAGTGACTCGCCCATCTAGCACAAGTATTGGGCCAAGAGAATGCCATGATATGGCAGCCCAAACCATCACTGATCCACCCCCATGCTTCACTATGGGCATGCAACAGTCTGGGTGGTACACTTCTTTGGGGCTTCTTCACACCGTAACTCTCATTGAAACCGACGTTTGGCACGAGTGAACAAAGGTTTGACTATAGCTGCCCGGCCGTGTGTATTGACCCCGTGGAGCTCCCGACAGACAATTCTGGTAGAAAAAGGAGAGTTGAGGTGCACATTTAATCCTGCCATGATTTGGGCAGCCGTGGTTTTATGTTTTTTGAAAACAATCTGGGTTAGCACCTAAACATCCCTTTCAGATGCGTCCACGGTTAATCCTGTTGGATTTAGTTGGTCCTTCTTGGTGGTACTGTATGCTGACATTACCCTGGATAAGTGGCTCTTGATACATCACAAAGACTTGCTGTCTTGGTCGCAGATGCGTCAGCAAGACGTGCACCAACAATTTGTACTCTTTTGAACTCTGGTATGTTACCCATAATGTTGTGTGCATTGCAATATTTTGAGCAGAACTGTGTTCTTACCCTGCTAATTGAACCTTCACACCCTGCTCTTACTGGTGCAATGTGCAATTAATGAAGATTGACCACCAGGCTGATCCAGTTTAGCCATGAAACCTCCCACACTAAAATGACAGGTGTTTCAGTTTCATTGTCCAACCCATGTAAGCTCCAAATATACACACCTCCACTACTGGTGAGGGTGCACATGCGACAATCATAACCGAGTCATAACGCGCTGCACTACGGCCCCAGCTCTTTGCTGTGTTACTGCCAGCATCAGCCAGAAGGCTACAAACAGAAACAAATATTCTTATTGCACAGTACAATGCATGATGTGAGCTACCATTTGCATCTGGTTTTGCTCTTTCTCTTCAGCCTTTTTTTTTTGTTTTTGATGCTGCATGTTACGGGCCAGTAGGATTTTGCTGGCCTGGGTCCCAAAAGATTTTTAATGCACTCCAATCCAGCCTCAATTTTTCACCCAAAGCAAATAAAAATGCACCCAGGAAACAAAACAAAATGCCTATTAACATATCAGATTCAGCCTGTTTCTGTCCAAATCACAGAGATGCCTATTTGCATTGGATTAGTATTATCACAGGACCTTGAAGTTCAGCAAAATATAGTAGGTAATCTGGAGGGGAATGTTTATTTTACAAATTACTCACATGGGCGATTCACACAGGATTAACAACACAGACAATCTCTGTAATTATTACAAAATAGCATGTGGTCCCTGGGTCAGAATAGGGCTTATCACACTCATTGAGATAGATGGGCATATGATATTGATCTACATTGAGCATATGATGACGAATTGGATCAATGGTTTTGTTTTACCTTGATGTAATTTATTCATTAATCATTTAATCAATATATCAATGTATTGTTACACCCCTAATACACACACCAGCTTTTCCCCTTCCATTTTCAAGGGGAACACAGACACAGGCAAATAGGTAATCGCCAAGTTTAAACAAAATATGTGCTTTTAATAACTTAATTCAGGATAGTGTGACAACACAAAGAAATAAACTTACTCTCAGCAGTAAACTTGAAAACTCTTTTACTGCCCGCGTCCCCAACAAAGACAGTCCCATCTGGAGTTACAGCAATATCATGGGGCATTTTAAACTCCTAATGAAAACACACATACAAAAAAAAAACAGTTCAATTCAATAATCTAAAGTTTTAAAAATACAATATTCAATACATTATCAAGATTTGGGCTATAAACAAACAACAATTCAATTTTTTTCTGAGACAAAAAGAGACATCTTATGAAATGTGCTCTATTTTTAGCTCATGTTTTATTATCTTATTTATTTG